CTTTTTCGTGGTCCATATAGTTGGGATTTGCCTGAGTAAGGTCATTTAAGGTTACAACCAAGAATACGTCTGGTTACATTCTCGTGGGAAGCCAGCCTTTCCTCTTTGGAATCCATTGACACTTGCAAGCAGATTTGGTGAAATTAGTTATTATACCATTTAGAATAGTCTAGAATACCATCTATGGACTTTTTTACATATGGTTCAACACTTCAAACGGATTCATTTCTAGCGTAAATACGTTGTTGTTTTTTTCAAGGCGTGAAACGAAGGCTTTTTCAATCTAGCGAAGTTAGAAACTGTCACTCAGTTTTCAAACTTCATTTCATATGGCATTTATGTCAAGACGGCGAAGCCTCTACGAACGGATGGTCCTAACTACGTCCTTCTCCGATTTTCCACATTTTCACGGGAACATGGGCATTAGTTTCCTGGCCGAAAGTGATTTGATCAATTACCTGTAATCTTCCATTCTCAACACTGCTATTCGTCAGGATGACCAACGTTCACATTAGAACGCGGTTGAACGTATAAGTTTATAGCTGGCACATCTTGCGTAGCTCCAATCGTGAAATAGAACTCCAGATTACCCGGTCTCATTCGCGCTATTTACAGACGCGGTGAGGAAGTGATGCAAGGTAAGTATGGGCAAGCGGCGTTACATGAATCATTGCTTCTTTGCGGCTGATGGGCTCCCTCACGGTCTTGTCTGTTATCCGTATTGGCTCAGATTCGCAGGATTACGCGCAAAGATACTACAGAGTCAAAGTATTTGAAATACTAGGAGTTTTAGCCATTGTTTTCTTCTGCACGTTACTGACCCATTCACATTGTAGCGTAGTAGGCATCAGGTGCGGTTGATTGAAATGTTTACGTGCCCTTGATAGGCCCGATATATTCAGCCGATGTCCACATGGAAAGCTGACATACCCACAGGGTTTGCATCCTTCAGCATACGATAAAGGTGTGCATTCTATCGTTACATCGCACGTCTGGTGGTTTGGTTGGTGCATATGTTGTTTCTAACTTGAGGGTCTTTGCTTAATGGAAACTGACCGAAAGAGCGCAAATGAAAGCTGAAGACTTGCGTGCGATTTCGCCGTGTACTTAGCTAATCACGCGGAAATATAGGTCGGTCCGAAAGTTCTGCCATTTCATTTCAAAAATTTGTAACTTTTTGTTAGCTGAGCGGATTCGCTTGCTTGTAGTTTTATTGAAAAGAATAGGTCCATCGCTTACGAATATTGTCTTGCAGACCTTCTGCTTCACACTGACTGCAGAGAGAAAAGTGGGAAAGGAAGACTTTGTAAGCTCAATCATTTTGAGTTAGATAACAAAAAACCTGGAAAGTGGCAGAAAAATCCGAAATTCTCAGTAAATAATTTCTCTCTGACTTGCCCTTTCAACCAAAACTTACATGGTCTTCTTTTTCGATTTTTATTTCTGCTCCGTGTGAAGTAGAAGCTCTGCAAGGCAGTGTTTGAAAGCCAGATTTGTCGTTGCGCAAAGTTACAGTTTCTTAAAATTGAAACGGAATTTTGAAAAAAAAAGAAGATTGAGACGGAATTTTCGGACCGATTTAATATTATTTCCGTGTTATGAATTTCTCTAATTTTACAGATTTTGTAGACAATATCACGCTGTTTCCGCTTCGAATGGTTTCTTGATCCTTTTTACGCAGTCTTATTGAGCTAATGATTTTGAATGTTCCACTCCTACACTATGTCCTTTGTCGATTTCTGTCTTGACTCTTATTCGACCAGTATTCCATGTTAAACGCAATCATTTTCATGCCAGTTTCTCAGAATTACTGCCAGTGCTAATATATATTCATTTTTATATTCCGATTTCTGTTTGTTGCTTTATGCATTCATCTTTTGTTCATAATCACCAGAAATCTCTACTTCTCAATTCGTACGAAACCGTATTCAGGACCAGAGAAAGTATTCGTCGCAGCAGTGCTTCGTCAGCGTTGGAACGCTCTGTTTATTCGAAACAATCTCCAGCCTCATTTGGATCGTCCCTGCCATCGTTTGGAGGCGCACGGCTCCATGACACCGGCGTTGCGCTTGCTTCGTCCGCTGTTGCTCCTCGTTCAGAGTCATGGAGAAACCTAAGTAACGAGAAGTCGAGCGCTATGTCGAAGCCTGCCTGGAGTTCGACAGCGCCGCGTACAGAATCTTGGCGAAATAGTTCAGCATCTGCTGGAAGTGAAAGTTGGAGAAATCTTAAGAAGGTAGGTTGACATCGAATCAGTCTAGGCTCAGTTCGAAATTCTCAGTGGATCGAATAGAAAACGAACAGAAAGTTAGCTGCTTTGTCCAATTTCAGTCTCCTCACGGCAGATATGTGCATTTGTGCACAGAGCCCGTCATACCTATGGCTTGTTTATCGTATCGCATTGGTCGCTGTGCTTGTCTTTCACAGTTTGCCAGATGAAGCTGTATCCCAGCATGACGTTTTAGCAAGGACTTTCCCGCAGTCTTGTGATGCTCATCGTGAAAATTTTGGATCGAACAGTTTCAACACACTAGAGAGAATTGTGCGATGTTGAAAATTTTGGATTAAACACTGTTCCAACTTTTTAGATAAAGTAGACATTGTTCTAAATCCCAAATGGCCGGCGAAGATTTTCAGATCTTTTAATTGAATTTTATCGTCTGTCTGTCGCAGCTGCCGGTGTTCTTGTCATCTGTGGCTCTTCTGTGTGCCAGAATGTCTATCATTTTCCTCATCGACGTAATTCTGAGATGTTCAATATCGAAGTATTGAATTCGGTGAAATCCGCGTCAGAAATCTTACCCAGGACTCGAAGTCAACAGGAAAACAACAAGTTGTGAACAAAATTTGGGTTCGACCTCTGCGCAAGCAAATCCAAAATTCGTTCAGTTTGGGTACAGGAAGTCAGCGACAAATATTCATCTCAGCTATCCTTCGTCTAGCTTCCCTCGACCTTTGAGTCGTCTAACCGAAATACTGCGGGATTTAAAGTCAAGGACGCGTCGTCACAATGAAGCACGAGGCAGCAATGAGTGCATCGAAGCTTTATGCTTCACGATTTTTGGGGTCTGGCGCGCTTTCTGCAAGGGCTCTTTCATACGATGGCGGAATTGACATCGCAACGAATAAGCTGCTCTCACTTGCGTTTTCAGGATGTTCCACAGGACTCATGGGTGAAAAGCACAAATGTGATCGGAAGTGGACATGTCGCCGGAGGGCCAAATCCCATCTCTAGGACTTTTGATAGGTTTGTGTCTATATTGAGTTTCCTTTTTTCCAACAGTCTTATTCTCTTTTTAGATTCCCTACCATTGGTGGTAGACCTCCGCTTGGAAATGAATTCAGCCGGGATATGAGACGTTTCTGACTAGACCAGATATACATATGGAAGCTTCTTTGATGAATCTGTGAAAACTGGAACCTTTGTGTTATCTGCTTTTCGTTAATGTACCTCAGCGAAAGTATTTTTCATATTTATGTTCATATAAGTCCAACAATGTTGTTGCATATTTATCTTTTTACAATCATCGTTTTTATCATCCTGCATGCATTGACATTAAGTTTTGATTATTAATTGTAGTGCTAACTGATAAATCCATTCTCTTCGAATCTACTATCTACTCTAATATTCAAAGAATAATTAGCTCACAAAAAAATCTGCAAATAGCGAAAATCTGCAAAAATCTGCAATCTGCAAA